GTGACACGCACGCCTGGCGAACAATTACCCGCCACCACGTCGACCTTGAGGGAAGGACAGGGCCTACGGCGTTTCATCAGCAACGGCCCCCTGTCCTTACCTAATCGTCACCGACCACTTTTTGGTGGCGTAAAAGGCTAAGTTTTGAGGATTTTGGGAGTCACTCTCTCGCCGGGACTGGCGAAGACTGGACGGTGCTCCTGAGGACACGACCGCTACAAACATGGTGGAACTTGGCATTTCATCTCAGAATAGGCGGAATAAAATGCGATTATTGAAGGGAGTCAGTGATTATTATCAGTGAGTGTAAGTGTGAGTGCCCCTGTTTAGGTGTTGGTTTATCCTTGAGCGTCGTGAGTGCTACGTTTTGCTCTTTCTGGCCGGCGTGGTACGCCACCATTTCTTTTTAGCAGTCTTCGTTAAATGAAAATACACGAGTAGTTGTGTACCAACGCTTCAACCAGAAAACCGGCTGGGTGTCGAACCACCCACATCGTGTAACTAAGGGACTAAAAAGAAGGCAACGGAGCGGTACAGGCGACGGACGATGAACAACGAACGGACAACGGGGCGCTGCAGGAAGCAATTTCAACACGGGGAGCGATGGTTGGCTTTTCATGCAGTCACTGAACGCATGATTTCTTTAGTTAATTGACCACAAAATTCAATCAGAACTCATTCAGGGTAACTTCTTGCTTTTATTCCAATCAAACAGCAACAACAAAAAACATCAAGCAAAAGCATGCCCTCATCAACACGCGTCCGGGTGGCCGGTTGGATACTCTCTGCCCAGGTGGGGGGGGGGGGGAGGGGAGGGGGTCAATTTACACCCTGAGACTTCAGAAACTAAGGGCTAGACGCGAAATTCACAAGGTGTGTTGGCCTGTGCGTGAACTTACTTGGCTCAAAGTTTGAGGTTTCCAGGTCATGACCTTCGGGTCAAATAAGGCCAAACAAGGTCAAACTCCAAGTAGGTCACCAAAATGCTCTTAGTACCAAGAAACCTGTTTTACGCAAAAGGTTACATGCTCATGTAAGGTCAGTGACCTAGTTTGACTTCAAAGGTCATGGTGACCAAAACCATAAAAGACTGCTTTGTGTTTCGCAGTTGAATAAGCGGCAATGATTAAGATAGGCAACATATTCCTAAAACAAAATGTTGACCTGGGTCATTTAGGTGAGTGACCTATTCTGACCTCAAAAAGTCCATGGAAGATTAATAATGCGGCTCCCGTTATCAATAAATTCGAAATGAGCACTAGAAACCACCCCATACAGTAAGCCCTAGAGCAATAAAACAGGTTGGTTTTGACCTTGGTCTGACCTTCATACGTGACCCTAGGTCAGTTGAACGATTCCCTAAGAAATTGACTTTGCTGAATCCGTGGCTTGACGTTGGCCTGCCGTAGGCCAGTGACCTTATAAGGTACATCTAAATTTTTGATACCGGACGATCCGCTATTGAATTTTGTACTGTCGAATAAACTTGATGCGGCTACGCCGTGTCGTCCGGAAACCATTCCGGAAAATCTTCTGGGGGTCAAAATTGACCCCTTCTGGAGCGCGTGTCATCAAATGAACCATGCATAGCGATTTTTTAGGGGGTCTCTTCACTATAAGGGGACCCTTTGTCAACCCTGTGCCCCCCCCCCCCCCACCCCTTGTCAAGGCTCTGGCTGCGCACCCGCACCAACACAATACGTCGCTACATGCGAACGCCCCGCCCTATACCTACGCGCTGCCTCCTTTTTCAAGATTCGGGGACAGTGCTGTCATCTATCCGCATCAGGATCGGAATGAAAACTGGCCCAGACGCCGCAAACCTGCGCCATAGTTGTCTCGGAACCATATACTGCGACACGAAGAGCGTTGATGGAGGCACAGGCCTGAGCTATCCAACGCCAACCCGGCTGTGCTCTAGGGCATTGGACGCGGCATTGCCGGGCATTGCGGGGAGACCCCAAGGTGCGATGGGAGGTTTGGCTTGTCGGTTAAGTTGATTTAAGTCTTGATCTGCTTTGATTATATATTTGGAACACTTATTGCACCGCTGTAGGGTACGTGCCACCAAATGTACCTGGTTTTGAGAGTGCCCGGCGCATAGTGTCACTTCTGTGTGGTTCTGCGTTCCTGTATGGGCCTCTCATACAGGGCTATGCTTATTTCTTTTGCAGGTTCATGGCCACTGCAGAAATTCCATGCACTGCACCAGATGCCAGCTCTGATCATTGGCCCAATTTTGCTTTACCCCTATATTATGTTCACATTTGTTGTAGTTATTGCATATATATATATATATATATATATATATATATATATATATATATATATTCAACTTGGATTATGAGCAAAGTTCTAATCAGGCCAATTTGTACCATATTTTTCAATTATGTTTGCTTGGAAAATATTTTAGGATCATTTTGCCTTGCAAGTGCTATTCAAACCTCAAAACTCTTAAGTATTGCTTGTTTTGTGCAAATATTGGTGTTGACAATGTACCGGATGTGAATTTGCCCAGATCTGTGATGAGCATGCACTTAAATTGCTGTGATATCACTGCTATGCCAGGTGTGCTGAGCATGGCATCATTTTTACAGACAATGGGGCAGAGTCAATGGTATGGCTCTGAGGATAAAGGTGATGCACAACTCCACCAGTGTGCAAAACAAATCTGTACTCCATACTAGACACCTGAGTCCCTGACACTGACACTGACATTGTTGTGGTGCAAGTTTGTGATACATGTGTGTATGTTGTGATGTATGCTGCAGAACCTGTAGCATGTTGGTGTCTAATAGAGTTCATGCTAAAGTTAGCTGAATTAAATTGTTATTTTTGGTTGGAAGATATTTTCTGACATACTTTTGCTGCAACTTAGATTAGAGCATTCTTATTCCTGGACAGATTGGTTCCTTGCCCTGGATTATTGTCAACTTGGTGGCAAGCGATAGCATGCACACACATGGGCAATAGTGTGTTGCATAGTTAAATGAAATTGCAACTGCAATGTTGCCATGCACAGCATGTGTGGTGTAACATGTATTTTAGAGCTTGGGCAGTCTGGGTTTGTCCATGATCATCATCTGTACAAGGCTTGCCTCACTCAGGTGTACTTTGTCATTACTGAGTAGCACAAATGGAAATATGCTATATGCAGCCATGCAAGTACATAATTAGAATGCTATGTTTGAGGAGTTAGCAAAAAGCAACTGGGCTATCAAAGTCCAAAAGTATGCCATGATTTTTGCAAATTCAATGTGCTCCACTTTGTTGTACCTCAGGCAGTTTATAAAACAAATTTGCATTTATGTGCAATATGATGCTATGCAGTATGATATGATGCTTGCTTCAGTATCTTTAAATGTGGAATCTTGCCCTTAAGATAACTTGCCCCCCCCCCCCCCCCTCAACTGAGAGGGTCATGTCCCAGTTGCCATGAAGTTAACCATGCACTGATGATGCTCCCAAATCATGCAAGTCAAGAGTTTTTGTGACACTTCTTTTAACCAGACTGCACATTTTGGGTGCCATAAGACTCCATCCATGGAGCCTGTGGTTCTGTTGGTATTGCCAGTGCAAAACCTACACCTCATTTCTTCACAATGTGATGTGAAAAAACTGGAGCAATGTGGATAGACACATATGCATAGTTTGGGAGTTTCCAAATGGAGCTGTGTCCAGAAGATGATCAGCAGCCTGCACTGGCAATGCAATTTTATCTCCATGCAACTCTTGAAATATTCCAAAGGTTTTCAGGTGAATATACTGGTCAGAATTATACAAAAAAGTATATTTTTGCTTGAAAGATAAGACAATACATAATGGACTGTTTTAACTGTGGGGCCTAATTGCCAGCCTGGTGGTAAAGCATTGTTTTTTTGTGCTAATATGACTGATACTGTATATATACTATCTGTATATATACTGATGATGTATACCATCATACATTTGTAGACATACCCAGTTTAGGCTTTCAGAGAAAGGTGTTGTAAACATCTATTGTTGCCCCTTTTATGCCATTGTTTTCTGCCTGTATGTGCAGGAATTTGAATTCATTGCATAGTCATTCTATGTCTTAACAAAATGGTTTAGTTTGGCTTCAGTCAGAAGTCTAGGTTGAAGCTGAAGCTAGGTGTAGGTCACTGCTGAAGTAAACTACTAAAATGAACCAGAACTTTATTTAACAAAATGCCAAAAACTTGCATGTGCACAGAGGCTGGCCATAAGTTAAGTTTGGCATTGCCAAAGTGCATTTGTAATCTTTTGTGTCTGCTTCTTTCAGGAATATTGCCAGAACAGGATGGAAGCTGTTCTGGTTGAGAAGGACCATGTAAGTTTGTTTTTTAAGACACACCAGTTTAAGGTGCTCATTAATTTTTACACATGACACATCAGTTAAAATGTAATAGCTGTGGCGAGATTATCCAAGACCTCATTCATTAGACTTAGGTGATTTCCACTCATTTTCTCACAACAATGAGTTTCAGCTATTTTATTTACTCCTAAATAACTGAGATCATTTTACAGTAACATCAGAAAGGAAGCCCCACATGACCCAAGCTGTATATTTTTTTGTCACAGTGACACCAGGTTACTAACTCCCCTCCTGTTTTTGTTGATGTTCCACCTACATCTGTAACTCTGCTGTCTTCAACTGCTTATCAGCACCAAAAACCACCCTCATTTGTCTCCAGGTGAAGGAGCCTGCAGCAGCTGAGGGCGACAGCGCGGAACTGCCGCCGGCGCCCATGACGGCCGCGGAGCCGGCGGAAGGCGGCGACCTCAGCTCGAGCGTCCAGGGGTCGGACGTCACGGAGCCGCCCAGTGCCGCGGCCAAGCCCGACGTGCGCCAGGCGCGCGGCTTTCTGGAGCCGGACGAGGCCGTGCGCCAGTCGGTCGGCTTCGCGGAGCCGGCGGAGGAGGCCCCGGCGGCGGCGGAGTCGGAGCCGGAGCCCGACGCGCGGCCGGGCGACGACGCGCCGGCGGAGGCGGGCCTGCCGGCGGCCGAGGGCGGCGCCGCCGCCTGCACCGAGCAGCTGGAGATGCTAGGGATGCTGCTGGCCAGCCCGTGTCCGAGCTCGTCGATCGCGCAGGCGCCCGACCACCTGCAGCTGCCGCTGCCGCGTGACGGCTTCATGTGCGACCAGTGCGGAGACCGGTGAGCGAGACCGACGGCGGCGGCGGCGCGGGCCTCGCGTGGGGAAGCGAGCTGCTATAGCTGGGCCGTGGACTTTGGGAGCGAGATGGGAAGCTGCCGGAAGTCGCAGCTTGCCGGCAGTGATGCCTAGCAGAAATCTCATACGACCTCGGTAGTCACCACCGCTTTATTTTTCACAAGCAAGTGGTTTGGGATCATATGCAACTACGCGTCATTGCAATGCGATGCCTTTGTATACACTGCCGGCAAGCTATTATTTCAGCTCATTCCTCTCTATCAGTCGTCACACTGGGCATGCAACATACACCCGACGTGGCCAACCGTACAGCGCAGGGATCGTATGCAACTACGCGTCATTGCAATGCGATGCCTTTGTATACACTGCCTGCAAACTATCCTTTCAGCTCACTCCTCACTATCAGTCGTCACACTGGGCATGCAACGTACACCCGACGTGGCCAACCGTACAGCGCAGGGATCGTATGCAACTATGCGTCATTGCAATGCGATGCCTTTGTATACACTGCCGGCAAACTATCCTTTCAGCTCACTCCTCACTATCAATCGTCACACTGGGCATGCAACGTACACCCGACGTGGCCAGCCGTACAGCACGTGTGTCTGCGCTTGTTTCAGATTCGTGCTGCCGTCGAGCCTGGAGCAGCACCACGGGCGACGCTCGCTGCGCGTCACACTCAGCTGTCCGGAGTGCCGCCAGCCGGTGGTGTTCGCCAACAAGTGCCAGCTGCTCGGTAGGTGCCAGCAGCGCTCCAAGGTGTATACAGTTGGTGTCGGCATTGTTCCAAAAGGTATCCAGTCCAGTACGGGAGGTAAACATGAATTCATGCCAGCAGAGTTCTGGCCCTTGAGCGACCTCCGCACGCACAGTTCGGCTAAGTCGAACTGTGCGTTTGTTGCCCTTTGCCCTTTGTCGAACTGTTGCCCCTTGAGCCCGAGCCCTGACATGTGACCTACCCGGCGGATCTGCCAAGCCCAGAGCGCCCAGATCCTGGGCTGGCCAACCCCCTGGTCCTGTTACGCTGACCCACCGTCGCGCGGTCATCCCGCCGCAGCCCCTATGACACCTCACGAGCGTCAGCCCGCCGTGTAGCGTCGCCTGCCGGGGCGGCGTGGCGACGTGTCGGCGCGCCGCTCATGCCCTGCCGCCCGGCCGCAGAGCACTTGGACTCGCACAAGATCGACCCGGTGTCGCTGGACCCGTCGCTGATTGACGCCGCCGCTCTGAGCTCGGCCGAGCTCGGCTGTCTGCCGGAGCCGGCGCGCACCGAGCCGCTACCGGCCAAGCCCGCCGCCACCGCCGGCGCCGCCGCCGCTGCAGCCAAGCAGAGCGTCAAGCCGCGGGTCAACAAGGTCAACAGGTAAGCGCGCCGGCGGGTCAGCGGCGCCGGGGCGAGCGGGGGGTGTTGCAGGTACCTCTAATTCGTGGAAATACGCCTTGCAGGACAATGCGGTTCGCTGATTGAGTGGCGGAAATGTTGGTAATATCTAGTGTGTGTATTCCTCGTGCCATCTCTGACAAGAGGGAAAAAAATACGCATGAGACTGGGTGACCTGTGAACACCATTTGAACACTTAACGCACAACGCATGCTGTTTTCCAACGCATAAGGGCATCAATAACGGTGACCGACGTTTGCGTATGATAAATATCGCGGTAAAGTCTTCACAATGTTACGCGAAGCGCACGTAACGGGGCTGCACGATCTGAAACCGCCTGTTTGTCTAATGAATTCAACTACACTGATGACAAATATGTATGGAATTCAACACCTATGGTGGCGAATGTATTGGCCGGACTTCGTAAGCGCTATTTGAATCCCTCTTTTGTGAAGAACGGGCAGAGGCGCTCTGATCACGCCGCTGTGTCCGCCGTCACCTCCCATATCACCCGAAGCCACCGTCGAGCCTCGCTCACCACCCAGGCGCGTGCCAGTGACATGTTACCAGCGTCTCGCGGTGACTGACGCCCGCGCGCGCCCCCGTGTGCCGCCAGGCCCGTACACGTCAGCTGCCCGATGTGCAACGTGCTGTGCTCGACGGTGACACTTTCGGAGCACCTGTGTCCGCCGCCGGAGCCGGAGGCGACGCCGCTGGCGGGGCCGCCGCCGCGCTGTCCCGACTGCGACCAGCCGTGTCCGAGTCAGTGCGCGCTGATGGCGCACCAGGGCCTGCACAAGCCCGACCTCTGGCCGTACCCGTACGTGTGCCCCGAGTGTGGCCTCAAGCTGCTCGGCACGCTGGACCAGTGCCTGCGCCACGTGGTGGCCGGCTGCCTGCACCTGACGCGCGATCTCAAGGCCTGCTGCGCCCTCTGCCGCATGGAGGTGGCCGACGCTAAGGCGCATATGCTGCAGGAGCACGTGCAGAAGCTGTACAAGTGCCGCCGGTGCCCGCTCGCCTTTGAGTCGACACACGGCTTCAATGGCCACCTGGTGGACAAGCACGGCGGCGTGGTTGTCGCCGGCGAGACGCCCTTCATGCTCATCCTCAAGTGCCCGTTCTGCGCGGCCACCTTCAACAACGCCAACGCGCTGCGCGACCACATGGGCTCGCGTAAGCACGGCGACCGCGCGCTGCAGCAGGTCAGCTTCGTGTTCCGCTGCCCGGAGTGTGACAGTGACTTCACGCGCAAGCAGGAGCTGGTCGGCCACCTGGCGGAGCTCCACCCCGCCTTCAAGCTGCTGAGCATGGTGGTGCCGCCGCGTCCGCCGCCGGCCGCGCCGGTCACGCCGCCGCCGCCGCCGCCGCCGCCGGGACGCATGCTGGGCCGGCCGCCCAAGTACCTGCGCCAGACGACGGGCGGCGAGCCGCCGGCGCCGCCGTCGCCGGTGGTGCGGCGCGTGCACGCGGGGTCGCCGCAGCCGTCGTCGCACGGCCGACTGGGCAAGAGCGTCACGCACACCTGTGCCGTCTGCAAGGAGGAATTCCGCCGTAAGCCCGAGTACACCGAGCATGGGCGGGTGCATCTGCGTGATGGCGTGCCTCTGTGCCTGCTGTGCAACACGCGCTTCGCCTCGAACGAGATGCTGAAGAACCACCTGGCCGACCACGCGTCCGAGATTGGGCGCGATCGCTGCGGTCTCTGCTACGCCAAACTGGGCAGCCGCGATACGCTGCAGTTTCACCTGGAGGGCGAGCACGGGCTGCGGTGCTTCACGTGCGCACGCTGCGACCTGCAGTTCGACCGGCTGATCGACCTGAACCGGCACAACTTCGCCAAGCACCGCGGCAGCCGCGGCGGTCGGCGCGCGGGCGCGCCCGGCCTGTCGCCGGACGCTGTCGAGGAGGAGGAGGACAACGAGGAAGAGCACGAGGAGGACGCTGACGACCTGCCGCCGGTCGGCGGCGGCGGCGACGGCGGCGGCGGTGGGCCGCGGCGACCGCGCCAGCTCGGCACGCTGGCGGACGTGACCAGTCTGTACCAGCTGGAGAGCGAGGGCTCGTCAGCCGGCAGCGACACCGAGCCGGCCGCCAGCGCGCCGAAGCGAGCGCGCGTGCAGCCGCCGCCGGCCGCTGGCGCCGAGACGCTGGAGCAGATCGCCAGCTTCGTGGCGGGCGGCGGCCGCGGCGCCCAGTTCGAGGTCGAGGAGGAGCCGGAAGAGGGCGAAGAGGTGATCGAGCTGGAGATGAAGGAGGGCGAGATCACGCAGAAGCGGGAGGCGGTGGAGGAGGCGGCGCAGGTGACCGAGTATATCATGCCGGACCTTGACGGCTTCGGCGTGCCCGAGGCGCAGGATTGAGGGCCGTCCCGGCACGGCTGACCGCCGGCTAGGGGAGCCGGGTCTCCCGGGATGGGGGAGGGATGGAGGGCGGGGAAGGGAGGGACGTCGTCACAGAGCTGGCGCGGCTTGGATCTCCCACGGCCGTCGGTCGGAGGGTCTACTGTCGATGGCGTGAAGCCGATGGGACGGACGGCGCCGCGCATGGGCGTAGGGCTCCGCGCGGCGCGGCGTGGTGCGGCCCGCGCCAGATGTGTCACAGACGTCGCGCGCGCGTGTGTGGCGCAACATGCGCCGTGCGGTGGTAGTGGTGGGCACCAGGTCGACCTTTTGGCGCAACTCCGGGCGCCCAGGCCAGGCCAGGCCAGGATTCACTTCTCCGTCGTCGTTTGGGGCCATTGACAGTCTCCCTTGTCGATCTCGCGCACATCATGAGCCTGACACATCGGTACGGTATAACGGCGTGGCCACTCGCTGATGTATTTGTATTGTTTGCGTGCTGGCAGTGTTGCCATCATCACGCCCCTTCAATCATGTGCGATGCGCAGCCGAAGATTTTTTAAGTACCCTGTTTTCGGTACATTTTTCGTGCATGCTGGCATTGTTCTCGCGGGATTAAATGGATGACTGAATAAGTGTTGATGAATTCGTGTAGCATACGGTGTGTGTGCATGAAGACGCGTCTCGGCGCGGGCCTTGATTCCGTGGTCGCTGAATTGACAAATGGAAAATCACACCCACACCAGTTCGGGACAATATTGTACAATACTGTATTGAATAAAATATTGGAACAATATTGTATTGTATATGCGCTGATACTGCCCCGTCGAATAACGCTCAAAATCGACTTACGTTTCCATTTCTGTAAGTTCTTCAACCGATAACACATTTTTTCGTCGTCCCTCCCCCGACAGCGTAAGTGAATGGAACCGGGACATCCATTCCTGCGATATGCAAACACGAGGTTTCAACTGTAAATACTTGCATTCGCCTGCGAGGGGTGCCACCATGTGCACACGTCGCTGGAGCACTATTGACTGGCAACGTAAACGGCTCTCAGCTGGCGTCACCTGTTTTGTGTTCAACTCGCCCCTTTAAAGCGCATTGCTAACAGCAGACTGACTCCCGTGGCGCAACGGCAAGAACACGGCAGGCCGGAAACATGCTATAATTGCACACGGAATGTGCAACTGTACATTTAACAGCACTGGTATAGGGCCACAGGCTGCCAGAACAACACACCTGTCCCTGATTTCTGCTTTGCTCCGCCGACCCCAACAGTGTCAACGCCGACGGGCCGGCTGCTGTGGCGATCTGCGAAGCTGCGACGTCCAATTTGAAATACTTCTAGCCGTGCGTCGTGGAAACGACCACGTGCCCACGATGCCCTTGTCGAAGCGCTGTCGGCTGGCGGTGCAAATCGGTCATCAGTCTACGGCTATCACAAAAACCTGAAATCGCGCGCAAAGAGCGTGGCTGCGCGCGTTCGATCGCGCTGGTGTAGGGGTATTGTCATTCAGTACACCACCATTCTTCAATTGGATAATCTGCTTAATTTGATTGACCCTCCCCCTCCCCCTGATAGCATAGCTCTTAATATCGGCGGGCCTGCCGCAGCTGCGATTTGAAAAGTTACGGTGTCCCATTTAAATCAAACTCGTGTGCGCAGTGTGCGACCACGCACACGCGATGCCATTATGGAAGCATTATCGGCCGGCAACATTTGCCGTTTATCGGTCGTCATCGCCCTTTTTGTTCCACGCATTGCGAGCACTCCACGGAGCATTGCGAACTGTGGTTGGTCTGCCTGCAGCGCGATGGCCAGATGCGACGGCCGGAGGACACGATAAATACTTCGCCTCCACCGGCTATGTACCCGCCGTGCCTGGGCGGGCGCACCTGGTGCGCATGTGTGGCGTAGGATGAGCGCTCCAAGTTCGCCGGTGGTGTCCATGGTGGCACCTCCACCTAGCCGCGTTCCCCCCCCCCCCCCCCAAGATCGGATGCAGCAGACGCCTGGATAATGGAAGTGCCGCCATCTGACAATGATCTCCTGACCTGACTTAGGCTCTCAGCCCGGGTTGCACACAAGCAGCTCGGAACTAAACCGCCGCCCGTGGGCGCGACCCAGAAGTGGCGCTACATGGTGTTCAGTGGGTGCATACAATGGAAGCCGGTGCGGGACACGCACGGTCGACGACGTCCCGTCGTGCATCGCGACGCACGTAGGACATACATGAGTAGAACGCACGCTTACTTCGGGGCAAACTACATGCCATCGTTGTCACGCCAACAGCCCTTCGGAATGCAGATACATGGTGAGACTTGCATATTCCCAGAATTCTTTTAATGTTGTGGGCAATGCGAACCTACTCTCATCCAGGTCCAGGATATATCCATAGGAAATGCTGTCATGTGTCCCCACAGCGCGCCGAATTGGGCGTCATTTACGACGGTACCCGAGATCAAGCACAGGTCTGCAGGTCCGTCGTTTCGGGCCCAGGATTCCGTGCTCTTCACCGACGCTCAAGCTATCCGCAGAGTCGGGCGATGCCGCATCCACGCTGCAGTCGTGCTCGCTCTCCTACCCCCTCTCTCTGTCTCTGTGCCATATACCCGCCGTTCTCAGCCCCCGGTGCCCAGCGACGCCGCACTGACGCCGCGGCCGGTCGTCCTCCTCGCGGAAGCACGCCCTCCCGTCCTCCGGCCCGTGCTGCCGGGTAGAATTGTTCCCACGCCACACGGCGGCCGTCTCCCCTCTTCTTCAAAGCACCGCGTACTCGCGCCCTTCTCTGGCCCTGGAGCCGAGAAGGGCCGCACCTCCACCACACACAGCGGCCCGCTCCTCTCTCTCTCTCGCTGTCGTGTATTCCCGGCCGCCAGGCCGCGCCGCAGACAAGGACCGGCTATGTACAAAGGGCCGGCCGGCCGGCGGCGCATAGCCGGACGCACACGTTTGTACTTTGAACACGAACAGGGCGGCGAACGGCCAGACGCCCGCCCCGTGTCACACGGGTCACCGGCCAACGGCACAGCCGCCAGCCAAGGCCACGCACTCGATAACAGAGCAATCCCCCTGTTCCCCTCCCCCGTCGAACCTAATGCCACAAACGCTAGCCGGTTTTGAGCAATCGTGATCTATCCAGACCGTGGCTCTGGCGTTCCACTTTGTCTTGCAATCGCATGCAGTGGTATTTATAATTCGCGTCATAACTCTGTAAATATTGTCACAACCTAACGAGCCTTGACCGGAACCGGTTAACAACGACTCTGAGACACACGCGGCCGTTCGGAATGTCCACCCTCCACTGGGGTCGCCGACCCCGACCCGGGCTCGGTTACCACTGTTCTACCGCCGGCCTAACGGCTAAAGGCTGACCAGGAGGTGAGTCGCATGAGTGTGTCGCCCCTATAAAGTTCATTTAGCACATCGACAACGCAATGGAACACAATCCTGCCGCGAGATTGCACAGACAAACATACGAAACCGGCAACACGGCAAATGAGTGCGGATGGAAGACAAGCCCAGTGGATTTCAAATAATCAGAACTGACGAGCCACTGGCGAGATTTCGACAGCCTGTCCGCAAAGTCGTCACGCAATTCCCGTTTGTACACCGCTTGAGATGTGCATGCTGCTTCCCGTCTCGGCCACCACAGGCGCGTCGGTCGACCGACGTCTCGTCCATTACGGGCGCCGCCGCCGGCACCGCGCTGCCGCCACTGTGTCTCTGTCACACGCGGCGCCCGCTCCCGGCCGTCCCTCCGCCCGTGCTACGCCGGCACGTCCCAGATCTCGTGCAGGAAGGGCGGCAGCGGCTTCTGCTGCAGCTTGAGCGACCAGCAGAGCTCCTTGTTGAGTTCGCCCAGCTGGCGTACCTCGGTCAGCACGCTCAGCAGCTTGGCGAAGATGACGCCGGTCGGGTGCGGCCGCTGGTAGTCGACGTACGCTCGCAGCGCGTCCACGTAGATGGACTGGATCCGCTCCACCTTGTCCGGCTCCTGCAGCATGCGGCGGTCTGCCGGGCGACAGGCAGGCGGTCAATGGCGACGGGGCTGAGACACGGCCCGCGGTGGCGCTGAGACACGGCCTGTGGTGGGACTGAGACACGGCCCGTGATGGCGCTGAGACGCGGCCCGTGATGGCGCTGAGACACGGCGGCTGGTGGGGCTGAGACGCGGCCCGTGGTGGGACTGAGACACGGCGGTTGGTGGGGCTGAGACACGGCCCGTGGTGGGGCTGAGACACGACCCGTGGTGGGACTGAGACACGGTGGTTGGTGGGGCTGAGACGCGGCCCGTGATGGCGCCGAGACATGGCGGTTGGTGGGGCTGAGACGCGGCCCGTGATGGCGCTGAGACACGGCGGTTGGTGGGGCTGAGATACGGCCCGTGGTGGGACTGAGACACGGCCGTTTTTGGGGCTGAGACATGGTCAGTGATGTCAGACATGGGCTGAGACACGGCAGTTAGTGGGGCTGGGACACGGCCCGTGGTGCGACTGAGACACGAGAGGTGGCAGGGCTCACCCCACGACTGATGGCGGGACTAAGGTACGGAACATGTCGCGGATCAAAGCCGGGAGCGGGGAATGGCGTACCACAGCAGGACAAGCTCATGAAAAATAGCAAATCTCTCACAAATAGCCAACACACTTAAGTGTAAGCACTACAGAATGCACGAAAGTCGGACGACGGGCTAACACGGGCCAGAGCTATGTAACACCGGCCACCGCTGATTTTAAGCGGACAGCTGTCAATGTCATGGAGGATACTCGAAGAGCCCATGCCTTCCACGCATCTCCAGCACCTGATATCGCCTATAAGCCAGCATACATTTCCCAGACCATAACGATGGCAGAACATTCAGTTGAGGCCACATTTGATCATTCATGAGGAGAGAGTGGTGCTGCGCTTTTCATACTGAGATGACTAACGTTATCAGACCGCGGTCAGGCGCCACCGGGGGGCCTTCTGATCAGCCACACCTGCCGCCGGCCCGAGTATGTGGCAGCTCTCAGAACGCAGCCGCTTTACCGACCGCGGTTGAGACGGACCCCGTCAGCGGCGGTACCCAGAATCGCCCCGGCCAGAGCGGTGAAGTAGGTCAGTGAGGGCGGCTCGCGTGTCGGCAGCGGGCAGCGGCTCGCCGCAACGGCGGCTGATCCTGCTCAGAGGCGTCGGCATCGCCATCAGCCCTCCCCCGGCCCTGACCTACATCGTGTGCCGGCTCGTCCCCCGGCCCAGGCTCACTGGCGGGGAGCGGCAACCCCCCCCCCCTTCCTCCCGCTTTCATCTAGCCGCCAGCGAATCTGGTCACGTCCCTCACCGCAATGAGAGACGTGACCCAGTGGCGGGTTATCTGCATAGCGCGCCCACGAGTCACGCACAGCGCGTTGGCCTACCGCTGGCGCACGTGCGGGCTGGCGTCCGCCCCGCCCCACTGTGTCCATGCAGAGCATCATGCAGCTTCCCGTCCTGACATCTCCTCCCGTGGTGTAATATGCGGCCACTATTCAGCACGGTTCTAGCACGGACACTGCGGTCGATCCAGCGGATCGCAGTCGGTCGGCCCGGGACGCTAGCAGCGGGTAGCGCAGCGGCGGAGACACCGCCGCGAGCCACCAGGCGTGGACGGACACAGAGACATGGCGTCTACAGCGGACAGACGTCAGCCAGGGACACCACCATCGAACGGACACAGAGACACGGCACCAACCGTGGACAGACGCCGCCAGGGACACCACCATCGGACGGACACAGAGACATGGCACCAACCGTGGACAGACGCTATCCAGGGACATCACCACCGGACGGGCGGTGGGTCGGGGCACCTTCAGTGGACATGCAACATAACAGGGCGCCAGCAGCCGACACACACAACCAAAGGCCACCCGCAGCGGCTCACCGGAAAATATATCGATGGCCGTCAGCAGCGCGTACTCGGCGTTGTCCACCTTCATCTTGGACATCTTTTTGCAGAACTTGAAGTTCTTCTCGATGGTGGTGGCGTCGAGGCCGGCGCGCTCGTAGGCGGCGCGCGTGTACGGATAGTTGTTGGCGAACACGATCGACTCCGTGTCCTCGTCGTAGCGCCGAGCACAGCGCATCATCATCACCTCGCTGGAGCACGCCTGGGGTGGGACCAGGGCGTCACGGGAGGCCCCGCGCGCCGGCCGGCCGGGGCTAATGGGCGACCCGGCAGCACGGTAACATTGCGTCTTGTGATCATTGCTTTGATAAACGAGCTCGTCCGACTCGATTTGTGACATTGAGATGATGTGCAGTCAATGCACCCGAGAGATAATGACCACTTTTCAAAGTATTGTTAACTGGTCGAAGCTGTACCAGCGCTTTAGTGAGCTTCACACGGTTGCAGACACCAGCAGTTTACAGAGATGCACACGAGAAAAGAAACGCAAGACTTGCCTACGCCACAGCACTCACCCATCCGACAAGCCTTTCCACGAAAGCACAAGGCTTACTGAACCGCCGCAGGCCGCTCGCTGAACCACCGCTACATACCTTATCGCAGATCTCAATCTCGGCAATGACCGTCGACTCCGAGAAGAGCGTCAAACAACCCTCGCCGAGGTCCGCGTCAGTTCTCGGACCCAAGCGGAGCCGGTCAGTGGACTCCCCCCTGCCCTCCCACCGGACCGGCGCGGCCAGGACCGGTCGCGTCCCAGCGGCTTGCGGCCGTTGCTCTACCTTGAGCACCGTGATCTGGTCGACCTTGAGCAGACGGTCAAACCCGGTCAGCCGCTTGCTGAACTCGACAATCAGCTTTATCGTGAGGATCGTCATCTCGGTAATGCGGCGGAAGTGTTGCGCCGAGTCGTCGGCGTCCGTTGAGTCCACCTGCGCCTGGGGCGGGACGAGGCAGTGCGGCCGGTCAGCGGCCGGCGGCGGCGGCGCGCGCGCGCCGGGACCGTCTGGGCTCCCGCCACCAGCAGAGCGTGCCGAGTCGCGCGAGGCGTCCTGTGTCGTCCGCATGCCACCGAACAGTACACCGGTCAAGCGGGGGACAGCCAGAGAGAAGAAATCGGCGCCAAAGGCGCTGTCGCGGAGGCGGGCAGGCGGGCGGCCGGCTCGGCCGGCTAGGAATCGGTGGCACCATCTACAAGGGTGGTGGTGACAAGGAAGCCTTTTGGTTTTTCCTGCCGGTTGAAGATTGATGACTTGAAGTCCGGGGTTCAGGCAACTCGTTACCGCTCGTGCGTGTCTTTGTTGTTTTTTGCTGACGTGGAGGCGTTGCCGACACAAATGAGGACCGATAGCACCAGGGCAAATCTGACTTCGGACGACTAAAACACCGCAGCAGACGAAGACGAGGAGACGGGCTGTGTCAAATGCCTGGACAATCTCGCCCGACCGACTAAGTCAAAGCTAACCCATCGTTCAGCTGAGGACCACGAAGTAGCCAGGTCAGCGTCGAACTGAGCACAAACTGGGGGCAGACGACGCTCACGACTAGACGCAACAACGGCAAATAGAGGGAGGCCAGCGGAGCTTGCGTGGCCGCCCACGCGGCTGCAGAGGGCGCTCAATGCCACGCCTGCGCGGTCCGACTCTGCGAGAGGTGTACGGGCGTCGTGGTGATCTTGAGGAGCAGTAACACATCCAACCACCAAGGCCAGCGCCACCGTCACAACGCTGTCCGATCATCAGCGGAGCTGACCGTAACCGACCTGGTGACCGCGTAAGGGCGGAGGAGCGATGTCGATGCTGACAACCGCAACCCATTCGCACAGGCCACTCCGATGACTCACGAAGAAAAACTACTTCTCAGAAAGTCACGCCTGTCCGCCAGAAGCACTGGATCCTCCACACCTCACCGGGCGCTGCGCTTAAGGCACCCCACTGGCAATCACCGCCGTGTCCAGGACGACATGACCGAACCGAACAGACAAAGGTCTGATGGCACAACGACCCGATCAGCGCGAGAAAAAACAAAACGGAAGCTGGAGCCTGAGTGAAATACTCACCCTTTCGCATGCAAAGGAACCAGTCCTCCAACGGACCGCGGACAGCCAGTCCACCTCGCCACGAGCCTTCACCGTACGATGTGGACGCGACGTCAGACGCGATCATTTGGGCTGCGCCGCCGCGGAACATGCCCCAGAGTCGCTGTAGATGGTCGGGACGGTTCGGCCGCGGCCCGATCTGACGTGGAAGCTGCGCCAGGTGGACTGGCCGTCCATGGTCACTTCAAATCGGATCCAGCAACATTCCAAACTCTTCCAGGCCTGACGGACGGACGGACGCGGTCCTCCAGGACTATTTCACCCTCGCGGCCTGATGAAATGATCGTTCACCAACTGACGGCCTGGTGGACCGACACTCCAGACTCAACCAGACCTGGTGGACCGGCACTCCAGACTCATCCAGACCTGGTGGACCGGCACTCCCGCCGCCACACCAGGCCCCGTGGACAGTCCAGTTCAGAGTTCAGTCCCAGTTCCTCCAGGCCTGGCGGACCGACCGCCCACTACCACCCAGCCGGCGGCCCTCCCTGGCCGCCGCCGGTCGCCTCATCACCTTGACTAGGCATATCTGGTCGTCGCGGCTCAGCTTGTCCTGAAAGCCTGGCAGCTGTTTGGTGAACTCGACTATGAGCCGCACAGTCAGCACGGTCAGGCCGGTAATCTGCTTACACTGCAGCTCGGCAGGGTCCAAGCTTGTCCGCTCCAGCTGTGAACGTGACGTCACACGTCACGTCGGCTGACGTCACGGCCGGCGCGGGCGGCGGGGCGGCACAGGGCAGCACGGTGGGGACGACTGTTCTGAACGGCAGACTCGTAATTTTTATGCAAATCAAAGGAAATGAGCATGTGCCAGAAACAGTTAACACTAGGGAACCACTGAAAACGCTTTTGATCGCGAATCATTCTAGGAACGTAACGCAGAAATTTGATCTTTGACATCAGTCCCTCCGACTGAAACTACTTCGGGAACCGCAGGATAAGCGGTTGGTGGCCCGCGGCAGAAGGCAGCCCCAGCCGGACTCGCCAGCAGAGGGTGGCGCGTGGCAGGACGGTGATGGGCCGACCCCTTTTTGTTGAAATCCCGTGAAAACCCGTGACGGCCCTTTTCAGGGACTCCGGGGTAACGGGCGCCAGCTCAATAGCGGGCTCCGGGATGGCAGGGCAGAGCGCAGAACTGACGCAGGCACGCACGGCACGATAACGGAGGATAAAGGTGCGTCTTCGCGTACGAGCACAGAGCGAAAGCATTATGAGCATTCGTCCGTCTTAGGTTAAGCGTCGCGAGCGAGAAGCATTCCCCAAAGGTGAGGGGTGAAGTCAAACACAACACAAAAGCTCTCTACAGGTCAGCAAGCGAGAATGGTCTCAGAGTCGGGTAGCGTCATTTCGTTCAAGTTGGAGATCGTCTCCCGAAAAAGCATGCTGTCTGTTCTCGGTCTAACAGAAGCAAAGGGAAGGCGAAATACGACCGAGGCGTGGACCAAAATGGCGTCCGCCTACAGAATATAACTAAGCGCATTGGAAGCCCAGACAGCACGAATGCATGACTTAAGCACGGACACTGCAAACAGTTACTACGAGCTTAAATGAATAGCAATGAAGGCACTCAATTTACTAGGCTTTGTCAAGACTATCAAACGAACGGGAAACAAATCACGAGTGTTAAGCCAAAGACTGTCCGGGTTGCTTTTTAAGCGGACACGGTATGTATATAAACATATCCCAATCCACAGCTGAACTCAGGCTAGCAGGGGCCCCTGACATTCGACCGAATTTGACTGCGATAACAACGTTTAAATCGTAATTGCGCTTACATACTCAGCATATTTTAATCATGATAGTGATGAACTGTCGAGCTCAACAATCCGGTCAGAGTTTTCTTACGGTTCACCTTTTGCTTTCCAAGTACGTTGCTCATATTTAAACATAGCATTAAACAAACCAAGTACATCTGCAACAGACTCCCTGTCGAAATCATCTTCGCAAAGCAAAACAGCAACGCCCCAAAAACGACCAGGGACACCAACCAGCATAACACAATCCACAGCGTTCCTGCCAGAGATTCCCCACCCGGTAGAGCCGCCGAGCCACCCCGGCCAGCCGGGTGGTGCGGCGGAGCCGGCGCCGCACTCACCGCCGAGCGGCGCATGTCCTCCTCGGTGGGCGACTCGTACTCCTCCTGGTAGCGCACCAGCCGGTTGATCAGCTCGTTCTGTTCGGCCGTCAGCGTCTTGCGGCTGACGGGCAGCACGGTGAGGGGAGCACAGCCACCGCCGCCGGCGTCGCCGCTCTGGCCCACCACCGCCTCCTCCGGCGCCACCTGACGGCCAGACGGCCAGTTATGGTGCCTGCCCAGAGCCAGCTGCGCGGACAAGGGCGGCGCGCTGGCGCCTTCGGACCCACCAGCGGGACGGAGGCGGTGCATGACCGCCTCCGGACCCGTATGGCGGGAGGCGGGGGTGTAACACTGCCCCGTGTGAGCTCACGTGATGAACGGTCGCGATTTACTGCAGCCTTCAAGTTCGGACCCACCCAACAGCCGCGGGGGGTTATGGTCACCTCCCTTTCCAGCTCATGGAAGGCGGGGAGTCACCCCGTCCGTTGCAGACACACGTCAGCGACAGAAGCGTTAAAAAGTCTGCTGGAGAGCCGCCGATGAGTCGGAGATTTTCTACTGCTTGTTTCGGATCCACGTGAGATCATAGCAAGCGATACACAGCTGGCTCTGGACCTGCTCAACAGGAGGCCACGGCTTTACTCTGCCTGCTCCGGAACGTACAGAGGGACAGGGGGGCCACCCGGCCGACCCGGAGCCCCCGACAAGAGAGCGGCACGTTACGCAGCCGCCGCTTCCGAATCCAAATGACAGGAAGCGGGAGCGTTACAATGACGCCACTAGCCCCCAGGCGTGGGGAGAGGGAGAGAATCGTTACGCTGCCTTCTTTAAGTTTATCATGCATCACACCTATCTCCCACACATCCAAGAACACATCCACTACATATCCCGCGACACGCCCCCCCCCCCATCCCTCTCCCTCCCTCCGCGGGGTCCACCAGCCCCGTCGGCCCACCGACTGACCGCGGCTGGCGAGAGACGGCTGCGCCTGGCGTCGGCCGCGTCCGGCGGCGTCGGCGTCGACGGCTCGGACGGGATCGAGCCGGAGCGCGCCCGGCCGCGCTGGCCCTGCTTGGCCTTCCGCTTCTCCTGGCACTGCGACTCCGGGACCACGCCTGCGGCACGGCGTCGGCCGTCAGCACGGTGCGGTGCCACTGCCGCTGATGTCGGCCGGCGTGGCGTCACGACGTCAGCGCAAACCGGCTCGCACTAGGCGTCGGCGCGTCGCCGCCGATGAAATCAACGTCAGCCGGCGCGCGCAGGGTCAAACACACGCAAAGGACTGAAAGCTCGCTCTATCCCATGACCGCGTCAATAAGCCATCACGCAAAAAGCGCACCCCACGGCAGAAGCGACGGGCCAGCGACGGCAGTCGGCCGCACGCCGACACACGCGTCAGTGTCGGCCGCGCCATGACGTGCAGATTGATCGGCACGGGAGCAGAAGGCGCCTCAAAGTGGCGCCGCCAGAGCGGCCATTACGATGAGGAAATAGGCGGTGGCGGCGGCGGCGGCGGCGGCGGCGATGGTGGGCGGCGCGACTCCAGCCGCCGCGGTCGGGCCGTTCAACTCCCGCCCTTGACCTTGAACAAGTCCAGTCGGGTGACGGCGCGGCGGGCCGGCCGGCTTGGCGACCGGAGCCGCCGCCGGCCGACGCCGCCGCGGCCACCGCCCGCCTGATCTGTCAACGCCAACGCGTTCACAAAGGCCGGCCACCAATGGCGGCGGTCGACACGGGTCGAAGAGGCGGGTCCGGGGGCCTGCACCAAAAGCGGGGAACTGAGTGGGGGAGGGGGGACTGGAGCGTCCGGACCGGACAGGTCAGGAAGGCAGCGCCGGACGAGACGGGTCTGAGGCCCCTGGACCCAGTGAGACTGGTCCAGGGGCCCGGACCAGACCAGACGGGTCCAGAGGCGTCGGGCCATAGACCCACCGAACAGGCACCGGTTTCAGCATGGTCTGACGAGAGCAATTACCCAGTGTGAAAGCGCACGAGGGATATCCCTTTCGGTGTCGCTTGCAGCGCAGGCCGTGATGACTTTCTTATGACATGCTCACGTGGCCAGGGGTCGCCTTTGCTGTCGCAACTACAGCTAGAGAAGCAACAGCAGAATAAGGTTGTTGCATGTCTGCACAGGCGTTTTGGAGCCTCAAGGACACTACTTACATTCGGGGCGCATTCCGACGTCGAGACACTTCTTCAATCGGCACTCTTGGCATTTTCTCCGCATATACATATCTATCTCACAGTTCTGACCATATTTACACACATACACTATTTTCTTCGTCATGCTTCTTCGGAAGAACCCTGAAAAGTTAAGCAACTGATAAGCTTCGGAAGTCATTGCAACCTCCAGAGGATGGTGTACACGGTACGAGCATCAAAGCTGCAGACACAGAAGTTTGTCGGGTTCGTAACCATGGCCATGACTGTATAGTCACTTCCACCTAGTCATAAACCGGACATCGGTGTAAGGCGCCGTAAAGAAGAAGCGCAACCACGCAGAACACATAAACATACCCGGCCGGCAGTTAAGTTGTCTGAAAGGCTACAAATCCGCCTTCTCCTTGATAATGACTGTACTGATTGCATGTCCTGCGACCTTGAAGCATGCGCCGAGAGCTACGCTAGCAACCACGTACACTCGCAGGATGCGGTGGAATAACACATGCAAGCCAGGCGGCGACCGTGATGAAAGAAATAGGGGTGACCCGACACATGGACGTTCAAAAAGGACTGAATGCACGCAGCGCATTTAGCGCAGCTCCTGGCGACCTTCCGCTTGTTCAATGCCATGCCGTACTCCACCGGTGGAGTCGGCCATACTGTGTACGGAGCAACTTACCTTTACAGCCTTCACACGTGAGGGCGTTGTAATGGTAGCCGGACGCCCTATCGCCACAGACCAGGCAGAGCTCCTCACTGAGTCTGGCCAGCGGACCTTTCTTCTTCTTCTCCTCCCCCGTGTAAGGACCGTTGCTGTTCGGCGGCGACATCTCATCGTGGCCTGAGACGAAGAAACAGCTGGGTTACAGATCAGGTGATATTTTGTAGCAATGCAATTCGTCAGGAGCTCAACATTAATACGGCAACAGCACAGCACACACATTGCATCTTGCGCAACCGGCAGCCGTTTCCAAGAGCAAAAATGAGATATTTGTTGACAAGTTCCGTGCGCGCGAACAGATGCTATTCGCACGTGCTGTAGCATAATACGCTGAAACTGAATCTCTTCTGGTCTGGATACTCCTGCGGAAAGGATCTTAAAAGAAGCCATTCCATGGGTTGGCACTATGCATCCGCATTATTTGTGTGTCACACAACACCACGCGTCTTTTTTGCCTTTAGCCGTAAAATTCCTGCTATGAAATGTGCCTCACGACACGGAGTCATTGGGTTGCCACTTAATCCGTATATTGTCCAACCGCCATCGGAGCGACTTCCACTAGTGATGAAAGCCCGCCAATAAATCACGACCACAACCGCAACGAGCTTTGGCCA